TTTTTTGAGACAGAGCCTTGCTCTGTTGCCCAGGCTGGAACACAGAAGCATGATAATGGCTCACTGCAGTCTTGAACTCCTGGACTCAATCCTCCCTCGTCAGTCTCCCAAGTAGCTGGATTACAGATACACTGGGCATGGTGGCTCACACCTATAATCCCAGCACTTTGGGAGGCCAAGGCAGGAGGATTGCTTGAGCCTGGGAGTTGGAAACCAGCCTGGGCAACATAGCCAGATACCATCTCTACAAAAATTTAAAAAAAAAGAAAAATTAGCTGGGTGTGGTCACTGTTGCTTGTAGTCCCAGCTGCTCAGGAGGCTGAGGTGGAAGGATTGCTTGAGCCCGGGAGGTCTAGGTTGCAGTGAGCCATGATGGTACCATTGTACTCAGCTTGGGTAAGGGTTTGACATCCTATCTCAAATTAAAAAAAAAAAGAAAAAAAGAAAAGTTCGAGACTTTTCTTTTTAATAATTTTCTATTTTGACTATAGTCTTAAATTTTTAAAGTGGACTTTCTCTAGAAAGGAAAGTCTCTGTTGTCTGCTTTTATAGTACTTCCATTTTGAAGCACATGGGCCATGCTTATTTTATTGGGTTTATTGTGTTATCTTTTAGTTTAATCATGTGCTTGAAATGAATCATGTCATTTTGAAATTTCTCCATTTTTCTGAATAGATTAAGCCTACTTTTTTAATTTTTCACTTTATTGAGCAAGTAAAATGGCTTTTTTATGCAAAGGTTTATTTACATATAAGATTGTTTAATCGCCTAAGGAATAAATCTAGATACATTTACATGTCATTTCACCTTAAATCTTTGCAATAGATAGTATGTTTTATGTTGAAGGAAATTGAAACTAGGGTTCAGAGAAGCCTTTGATTATATATCTCGTTAATGGTGTTTCATGCTAAGTATGGCTTTAGAACATTTATGCTTAGAATTTCAAAACAGGTGATTGTAAATATTACATTACAAATATCAGTGTAAAAAGAACACTATAGTGTTACATTGGAGATTTCTTATTTTTAATTTTATTATTGTTTTATAGAGATAGATTCTTGCTTTGTCACCCAGGCTGGAGTGCAGTGGTAAGATAATAGCTCACTGCAGCCTTGAACTCCTGGGCTCAAGCGATCCTCTCACCCCAGCTTTCCAAGTAGCTGTGACTACTGGTGTGCATCACAGCGCCTGGCTTTTAAATTCTTGTAGAGATGAGGTCTCACTACTTTGCCCAGGCTAGTCTCGAAGTGATCTGCCTGCCTGTTTCCCAAGTAGCTGGGATTACAGGTAGAAGCCATGGTACCCAACTCAAGATTTTGTTTTAATGTCACCTGTAATATTTCATTTGCTATATTTTGTAATTAGAATTTAGCATATTTTCCTCATAGCTAGTTTTGTGTAGTTTTAATGGTTTATTTGTTTTGGAAATAACAGTAAAAACTGATTGTGTTTGATATTTAGGATCATTTCTATCAGTAGAACTTTTTGTAGCAAACAACACGATAAAAAAAAATACAAAATTATGTTCCATTTCAGATGGTAGGATATAATAAAACTGTTTCCCATTACACTATCTAGAGTAGTGATTCTCAGGTTTTAATTTCTTTAAAAGTAATCTGAGGGGATACTTATGATGCAGGTTCCGACTCAGCACAGTGGCTCATCCCTGTAATCCCAGCACTTTGGAAGGCTGAGGTGGGCAGATCACCCGAGGTCAGGGTTCCAGACCAGCCTGGTTATCATAGTGAAAACCCATCTCTACTACAAATACAAAAATTAGCCGGACATGGCAGCGGGTGCCCTAATCCCGGCTACATGGGGGGCTGCAGTGGGAGAATTGTTTGAACCCACAAAGTGGAGGTTACAGTTAGCTGAAATTGTACCACTGCACTCCAGCCTGGGCGACTGAGTGAGACTCTGTCTCCAAAAAATAAAAAAGAAAAAAGGTAGGTTCCAAGGCATTACTTCCCAAAATGCTGATGTAGCTGCTGTGTAGTAGGCTGGAAGAAACTGCGTTTTGTTTTAAATAAGCACCCTAGATTGTTCTGAGATAGTTGAAACACTTTGAGAGAGTTCCAGATTTACCAAATCAAGATTCTTTATTTGCTTCATCTTCTGACAGTTGATTCAGTCTTTTTTGCATCAAGTATTTATAGAACTCCTACTTTGTGCTGTGTACTAACTTCAGCTTTGTGTGGCTCTCTGAGGCCTTTGAATTCTTTGAGACTAAGACATGCTTTTAAAAAATGGTCTTTGATCATACAACTATAATACATGTCATTGTCTTACTATAAAATAAAAAATGTGAAAATAATTTACAATACTACTAGGAGAAACCACTTCTAGTAGTTTTGCTTATTTTTGTCTTCGCTTCCCTCCATATGTGTACTTTTTGGAAAATCGGGAATCATGAGTAGATTTTTAATCAATAATTTCACTTAACACATATGAGAAGTGTTTTTTAATGTTATTAAATAGTATTTTCATATGGGCCTTTTAAATGACTGAAAAAATTGTTTCATTCTGTAGGTTTCGATATTTAAAGTTTAGTTATCAGCATTATTGATGTTATTATGAAAATTCTTATACATACATTTTTGTTTTCATCTCTGATTATTTCCTAAAGGTAAAAATTCCCAGAAATTATATTAGTAAGTTGAAGTTTATTTTTAAAAATATTTTTAGAGGCCGGGCGCGGTGGCTCAAGCCTGTAATCCCAGCACTTTGGGAGGCCGAGGTGGGTGGATCACGAGGTCAAGAGATCGATACCATCCTGGTCAACATGGTGAAACCCCGTCTCTACTAAAAATACAAAAAATTAGCTGGGCATGGTGGTGCGTGCCTGTAATCCCGGCTACTCAGGAGGCTGAGGCAGGAGAATTGCCTGAACCCAGGAGGCGGAAGTTGCGGTGAGCCAAGATCACGCCATTGCACTCCAGCCTGGGTAAAAAGAGTGAAACCAACCCCCAAAAAAAAAAAAAAAAAAAAAATATTTTTAGAAGTCTTTGCTATAATTGCCATGTAATTATAATCTTTGTTCCCATTTACTGTTCCCCACATACCTCTACTCCACTCCCATTGCCTACCTGTGCATTTTCCTCCAGGATTCTAGGGGTCCTGCCTTTCTGAGTTACTCTATAAGTATCCAAAGGAGTTGTGTTCAGAAATTATTTTACCAGTCACTATTGAGTTTACATTTTCCTTAAGAGATTATTATAAATTTTGGCAGCATGTATGAAATGTTCTTATTAAAAAATACTTTCCTGATTTTAACTTAGGGCTCCAGAAACACATTTCTCAGTAAAGCAATGGGTTTGGGTACTCAACATATTCTTTCCTGTCCTTCTTTCCTACCACTTCCCACTGGTGGCCAACCGCTGGTGATAGGAGATGGTGGGTAGGGAGAAATAAGTAGTATATTAAAGGCTGATGTGGACTTACAAGTGATTAGAAACTAAATCCATAATACCTGTCTTTGGCCAGTTTCTTTAATAATCTTTTTATTTACTTCAGGAGTTGACCTGTTTGATTCCACTTAACTGGGGTTGTTTGATTTCTCCTTCCTTAGCAGTTGGTTCTGTTTAGGATTTCTTTTTGCATGTGCGCTCTACAGGATGGTATATGTTTTCATATTCTTCTCCCTTACTGACTTACACTAAAAATATTGATTCATAACTATTTCAAATATAGAATCCACTTGATAATAGCTGCCATTTGAAGTTTGTCGATTTAGACAATGCATAATGAGAAAGGTTTCTGTTAATTCATTAGCACTTTTAATAGTGCTAATTTATGTGGCACAATGTTCATTCTGTTTAAATATGGTGCTAAATCATGTGCAGAAGATAGTTATATGTGATTTTTATAGGTAATGCTATGGCAAAAATTAATTGCCATTACTCTCTTCTTCTCTCAAGCCTACCCCCAGAACATTTTTTTAAGCCCAGTAAAGGGAAACAAGGTCGCAAACAAGTGATACATGATTGATGTGTATGTATGCAAAGGATGATAGTAGTATTCATTTACCTTGTAAGGCTCCAAGTAGTTTGGTTTTCCCCCAGACTGTTTAGGAATTGGGAGGAGAGGGAAAAGAAAGGAAATCCTAGGGAAGCCTCAGCTCAGAAGACATGGAAGAACCTGGTTTTTGCTGTTTGTGGGGAAGGGTCTGTTTTAATGAAATAATGTTTCTTCTTATTACTAATCAGGTTAGATATTATACAAACTTGTGTTACATGTACCTCCTGTGCATTGCCCCTCATGTGCATGTGCTGCTGTGCTAAGTAATAGGAGCGATAGAAATCAGATTCAACCCCTGATAAGTAAATAGGTTATTACAAAACAGTGGGTTTAATACAGATTAAGTACAGGATCCTATGAGAACAACTCAAGTGGGGAATAGTCTGCAGTAGAAGCAGTTTAAAATAATGTAATGATGTATAATATGATATAAACCACCCATGCATACACGGTTCTTAAAGGTGAAACAAATAAGAAATAAAAGCTTGAACTTTAGTACAAAGTGAAAAGCAGATAGCTACTGTACTTGGTCTTTTCTTGGAATCATACAAGTACAGATCATGTGGATCCATATTACCCTTTGAATAGCATGCTGATCTATAGAATTTCATTGACAGGCTTGTGGAAACGGACAAAAGTCACTCTGAATTACTCAGAGTCTCAGCTTTTCTGACTTTGCATGTAGTGAATTTATCTCATAATGTTATTCATTCTTACAGAAATTAGTTTATAGGGCTTCATGACAGGGATAACTGGTTCTATAGAGACTTCCTACATTGGATGTGTATGATGCTATTTAAAGTGAATAGTTTATACTTTTTCATTATCATCTAGTTTAATATGTTTAAAAGTTTACTATGCTTAAACTTTTAGATTTGGGGGAAAAAGATTATGTCTACGCCAGTAACACATACTTTACTAAACATATTAATCATAAAATGTTATTTAATGTCATGTAATCTCCATGTGTATCTCTGGACATATCTATAACAAGGTATCCTGACATTTTCTGTAAAACAAAGCTTACTTAGACCACATATTAGAAAAGGGATCTTTTTTTAGGTGCTATTGAAAAAAATGGAAATAATTTCCAAATGAGTAGTAACTAACTTCTGAATCTTTACTATGAATTAGTTATATTATGTTTTTGTTATTTTTAATGTAAATGCTGATTAATGTATATTTGTATTTTCTCTTTAAAGGATATGTGGGACTAGTAAACCAAGCAATGACTTGCTATTTGAATAGTCTTTTGCAAACACTTTTTATGACTCCTGAATTTAGGAATGCATTATATAAGTAAGTATTCAAAAAAATTTTATAAATAAAATTGATTTAATAATTAAAACATAGTTTTTAATAAAATTTACCTTCTTGAAGTTATTTTAAAGTTTGGGGCATTTCTCACACCATAAGAAATGCCTTACTTCTTTCCTTACATAATAACGAAAATCTTGTGAAAGGCATATGAAAAATGTGTGCGGAGAGAGAGTCAGAAGTCTATAGACAGCAAAAGGATAAAATTGATAAGATTTACATATAGGGCAAAAGCCTCCCTCTCTTATAGCCTTAACACTCTTTATGAAGAAATAAATATCTGCTTTTGAGAGAACTTGAATATATAATCCATACTCTCCTTCTACATCTCAGTTTAAGAATCCAAAGTTTGTTTTTTTTTTTTTAACATGCAAGCTTTGCTTCTAATTAAAAGGCAATACTTAGTTTGTTTCGTGTGTGGGTGCGCACGCGCACGCACACACGGGTTTCTAAAAGACTCCATACACATAAGATAGTTTAAAATGCTCTATGGCGGAAGTCTGTATCTAAGTAAACCCTGAAGCTAGACATTTATTTTTATAAATATCCTATCCTGACACATTTAATACACCTTTGCTTTGTATATTTCCTTTAAGATAAACACAAAATTTTTTAATTTTTAAGGATACTTTTAAGTATGAGCAAACTGATTTTTTTCTTTTTTGTTGCTTTCTAGTACCATCTTTAAGTTACGGTAAATATGTATTTAACGTTATTTTTGGACTTTTAATATTGCCGATTATATTACTCAGGCAACGTTATATCACCCACCATTAGATTAATCTATCACAGGCTGGGCATGGTGGCTCACGCCTATAATCCCAGCACTTTGGGAGGCCGAGGCGGGTGGATCACGAGGTCAAGAGATCGAGACCATCCTGGTCAACATAGTGAAACCCCATCTC